GACAAGGAGAGAGCAAGAAATAACACTTTCCCTCAGTGCTTGTCACCTTTGATTGTTTATGGCAGTCCCAGAATGTTACTTCTTTACATCGCCAACTGGGGAGGGGGAAGTCATGGGGATATTTTCTTTCTGCAGCAGTGAGGTTTTTCCTTTCTTCTCTTCTCAACCCCTTCCCCAGAACAGTGGGGTAGGTGGGCACCAACCTTTGGGTTATGTTGTATTTACCCAGTGCAGGGGAGGGACAATTTCTCTGATATCAAGACTTGAGAAAGGTAGACAGTAAGTTTCCCATGGTGGGTGCAGCTATTTCAGCCATTCTGCCTTCCTGAAAAGATGAAAAATTGGGAAGATGGGGCAGGCACCTTTTGTTCCAGAGAGATGCCACCTTCTGTAGAGGAGGTAGGGTTTATCTGTAGAAGGTAAAGTGCAGAAAACCCCTATAGCCTTTCAGGGTGAGATTCAGCAAAGCACTTCAGTGTGTGAAATTTTTATTAACTTCTTAAACTTTTCTCTTAGCCTTGGGATGGTAGTGGAAATGCAGATCTAAATAAGCGGTTGCAGACAGACCTGAGCAGAGCTGCCTTTGCTCCAAGCTGGCAGTCCCCAGGCCAGCCCTGAAGCAGGAGCTGCACAGCTCAGTAACGAGCTACTGCGTCTGGCTCGGGGCAGCTGATGAAATGTGTGCTATATAAAAGGATAAGGTCTATCTAGTGTGTGATATTAAGCAGAAATTATTTCCCTGTTCTGTTGTATCCCTCAAATACTTACAAACCCCACAGAGCCGTTCATCATTAAACACTGGCACGTTGTCCTTTTTTTCTTTCTCTCTCTCTCTTTTCCTTCTCTTTGTATTTTTCCTCCCATGTTCCCATACTGCTCTCGTCTTAAAGTTCAGGAAGTTCCTCTGCATGTTTGTATTCGTCATTTCAGGTCACTGCACAATAGGTTTGTGTCCCAGAAGGATTCAAAGATTCCTCTATAACTGAGCGCAGAAAACCCCGTTGTCTGTCAGCTCCTTCCCTTTCTCCTGGTGTCTCACTGTCCATTTCAAGACTTGTCCATGCACTGGGCATAGAGCCTTTTCCTGCATTGAGCCAGTTAGTCTGGACTTGTTCTGGGGTGCTGGGAGAACCCTGTGCTGTGGCACTGGACCGACCACGTATGCGTGGTGAGGCTGGTCTGCACATGGTGTGTGTGCCTGGTATTCTCCAAGCGTGGGCACGCTGAGCACATGCTACCCAGCCATCTGCTTGGGGAGTTCCTCTGGCTCCTGGGATAGAGATCTTGCCGGGGGTTGGCTGCTGCCAAATGATTTATTCAGCCTGCTGCTCTCTCCAGAGGAAACCTTAGGGGAGGGAGGAGCTGCAGGTGGGCTGTTGGTCACACTGCTGCAGAGGCCATGTTGTTACACATCCTTGCATCCCAAACACCTCGCAGCCTTGGAATTCGGTTACATCCTAAGCTGTCTACCTCCTCCAGTAGTTAGTCCAGAGCTGGGAGAGCCTTGGGCTCCTTTGCTCACATCGTCTTGGTCTGACTGTCCCAGCACCCCAGTCACGCTCTGTGGGTCCCTGCAGCAGCTGCAGCGCCTCTGGGCAGGGTCTTTTACTGTACTGGGATTCAGGCATCAGCAGGAGAAGCAATGGGCAGCTCCGCTCTTGGAGCGAGTTGTTTCTGTTGGACATTGCTGGTACCAGCTCTGTGTGCCTGGGCTCCGCACACGGGTCCCTGCTCCCTCTCAGCGCGAGGAGTTTTTCTCCATCTTCTGCACCCTCTCCCTCGGCTCTTCTCCTTCCCCTGCCCTAGGGGAGATGGGCCCTACACCGGGAGTCGTCATGTCCCCTTCCACCTTGGAAACTCTCTTTCACAAGGGAGTCTAAGTAACATGAGTGGTGGGGCTGGACTGAATTCCTTTCTGGGTTGGGTCATTGGTTTTGCCTTTTTTCCTCTCTTCTGAGCCTGAGCGCGTTAAAGGAGAGACTGAAACAGCTGCACTAAGCATAGAGCTACCCATCACTGTATTTTTCAAACCATTGCTCAGGAACCTGCTGTTGGGCTGCGTGTGGCCTCTGGTTCGTGGGCAGTAAAACTGAGCACTTCAGCTTTGCCTGGTGTGTTTTACTTTACAATTGCAGCAGGTTTGTAGCCTGCCGGGTCAGCTGCTAATAACCTCATTGTCTTTAATTGTGCAAATATACCCTCAGATATTTCAAAATGAGGGCATCTGGGTGATGGAGTGGTGTTAGGGAAAGTAGGTGCAAGTATGTCCATATAGGTATATATACAGTTACCATTTCTTCTATTGGCCAGACCTTATATAGGCACTGAAATACATGAATCTACGCAAGAGTTGTCCTTTGTATCTGGCCTTTGCAAACGGGGTACTTGCAAAGGGAAGTTATAAATAATCACAATTGTCAGCCTCCCTCTATCTCTGCTCTCTGAAGCTACAGAAGAGAAGTGATTGACCAGCTTTGTTATTCAAAGCATTTCCCTTAACAGCTGAATCCTGTGGGAGATTCCTCTTAGAGCAGCTTTTTTCTGCGGTGGACTCTCCTGACAAGATCACAGACTGTTTTTGGTCTCCGAGTGTCATGATGAACATCTAGTTAAGTCTATTTTTACATCAGAAATATGTTGAAAGATGCTGTGCAGAGAAGCAGCAGTACAGTAAGATTTGAAGGTAGTCTATACAGGGGAATGCTTTTGGGGACAGTATGCATTTTCCTTCCTGTTTCTGAAATTTCTTATATCTATAAAACCATAAAACTTCAATTAGCACCAAGAAAATAGTCGTGACTATACATTGTTTTGATTTTCTCTTTTTGCACCAAGATTGAAATTCTGTGCTTTATAGCTGCTCTGATATGTCCTTTTGAGCTTCGAAATTTTCCAATAAAATGAATCCATTGTAGCTACTGCTACTCTGGACAATTAATTGAGAAGAAAAGTAATGATACACACATGTTGTTCTTCACCCTCTTACTCTGGCCTGACTGCTGGTACGGTGTCACAACAGCCTTTCAAGGCGTGAGAGAAAGAATACTTTGGCCTGAGAAGGTGTTTGGGGAAGTGGTTGCAGAGAGGAACTGGTGGCTGAAACCTCAGCTGCTTGGTTACCGTTTACGGTGGGAATCTGGGAAAAACTGATGGTTTTGACCAGATTACACCTGGGTTTAGAGCAACTGTCACTGAGATTATATGCACCAGGTTTCAGAGTGAACTGTTTTGGCCGTGGTGTGTCATCGGGATCCTGGCTGGCAAGTGGGCTTTGTCCAACCTGTGCTGATGTGGCCCTGTCCCGGGTTGGGAGGTGAAGGGTCCCTGCTCAGCAGTGAGTGCTGAAGTCTCTCCTGTTGTCTCTGTGCGTACCATGTGCTTGTAACTGCAGCTGGTTTGCTGTGTCCTTGTGGCTGGTGAGGCTGGGAGCTGGGAATGGCATCTCGGCACTTGCCCAATGGACCAAACTTGACTTGCTTGGGGGCAGAGCTGCTGTTTGCTCTGGTTGTGGAAGGTGAGGGTGGGATGTTACATGTTTATCTCCTTTCTCTAGGTGGAGACAGCCAGTCCTTGGAAGCTGATTGCTCCTAAAAGTTGTGGTAGTTGGGGTAGGATGGTGATGTATTAATTTTTCTCTTTTGTTGTGTTTTTTTACATTCCAGGAAGGGTGCTTGTGGCCTTCAGAAAGCTCGGTTTCACGCCAGGGTGCTTCAGAGGTACAGAGAGATTTCTTATTATCTTCACCAATGTGCTTTCCTCTTTCCTGTTATCTATATTTGACTCCTCTCAAAAGCAAGCATCTATTTAGTAAATAAAGCTTTTTCAGTGTGGACTAAGAGCCAGGTTCATGTGGACATCTGAGCTTGCCTTAACTCCCATTCCGTAAATGCTTAAAACTTTTTCATTAAAAGAATGAGATTCTGCCTACCCGACACTTCCTCTCTGTCTGCAGCTCCCCATATCATAGCAGGCATTCATAGGTGAGTGGTGGAGGTGTCTCTGTCACACAGTGGCTCAGTAATTTGGGTATTCAGTGGAATCTATAAGACCAGTTGCGCTTCTCCAAATGTTCTTCCTGGCGTTACAACACTTACTCTATCACCACTGTCTGTCTTCAGTTAGCACAGATCCCTGCTCTGAGTGACAGTTTGTGGGTGTGTTGCTCCAAGTGGCCCAGCTCACTTGTGTCAAACAGTGAATCTTCCTGATGGCTGACCTTGCATTTATGAGGAGTGAGGGCTAAAGACCCTGTGTGGACCCAAAAATGAGAAGGGCAGTTTGATAGGTCTAGGTCTAAGAAGCTGGTTTGTCTTTCTAGATCTGGGATACACCAAGTGAGGAGCAGTAACTTCTCATGGAGTGTCTTGAACTCTTCCTCTTGTAAAGCCTGACCTTCTCCAGGGCTTGATATGCCAGGGACATTTTTCCGCTTGCAGTGCAGAAGCCTTGCAGGTCCTCCCCAGAGGCTGAGTTCTGGCTGAGAACTGAGGGCGAGGAGGACACCTGATACACTCTGGTAGTGAAGGCGTGAGATATGCCAGCCCTTTGCAGAATGTACTAAAATGACCATCTGAATTCTTTAGTGATGGCAGGGTATTACATGAACTCTGAGTAGGAGGGGGATGCTCAGACTGCGGCCAAAATTCAGTATTGGGACATTTTCATAGAACTAGTTACTTGTCAAGTCTAGAGAGCAAGTGTTTACTATGTACAGAAACAATTGTTTTCTCTCGGCTCTGCATGTTTCAGGGTCAGAAGGAGCTGTGTTAGGTCTTGGTCTTCCTTTGTGAAGTTGTTCTCAAGTATCCTGTGTTAGATCCTTCCTGCAACTCCTACCTCTTCTTCTCACCTGCATGTGTGTGGGAGCATGTGTGCACAGTATCTACTGGGTTTAATCCTTTAAGAAAGGTGGCAAAGAGAAGTATTTCCTGGTTTGTTGGTTCTTCATAAATGCGTGCTTTGCTCAGACGTGGAGTCACGTGTCTCTCTTCCCGTTTCAGATCATGTATGCTCCAAGGTCCAGGGACAGGTTTACCGCCCCATCTTTTATGCAGCGGGACCGTTTCAGTCGCTTCCAGCCCACTTACCCTTACATGCAGCATGAGATCGACCTTCCTCCCACCATCTCCCTCTCGGACGGGGAAGAGCCGCCGCCGTACCAAGGCCCCTGCACCCTGCAGCTCCGGGACCCGGAACAGCAGATGGAGCTCAACCGGGAATCTGTCCGGGCACCACCCAACCGAACCATTTTTGATAGCGACTTGATAGACATCTCCATGTACAATGGGGGCCCCTGCCCACCCAGCAGCAATTCGGGCATAAGTGCAACCAACTATAGCAGTAACGGAAGGATGGAAGGACCACCCCCGACGTACAGTGAGGTCATGGGGCATTACCCAGGCTCCTCTTTTTTCCATCACCAGCACAGCAACGCGCCTCCTTCCTCGCAGAGGGGGAGCAGACTTCAGTTTCAGCAGAACACTTCAGAGAGCACAATAGTCCCCAGCAAAGGCCAAGACCGGAAACCAGGGAACCTGGTGTAAGGCGCTCGCCCAGGTGCGTTTGGACTGAAGAGGAGGGACTGAAGCAGAGCGGTGGAGGAAGGACCCCCATGCTCCGGTGCACAATGTTGTTAACGTTTCACGTGGTACAACTTAGTAAAACCAAACGTGCAAACCAGTTCTTTGTTTCTGATTCCTTTCAGGGGAATTGCATGCAAAGCAGATGGAAAGAAATACAAACTTCCATTCAGTTTGTCTACGAGCAGTGTTTCAGGGGAGAGGGGGGGGATATATTATTTTTTTTTTTAATAAACTATTTCAATTATTTAATTGTAAAAGTTAACTTAGCACAGAAATGAGGCTTGTACAGCCTGTTTTATACTCACTGAATGGCAGAAGGAAGAAGGTGGTTTTGCTAGATAAATGGGGGAAGAATTGGCCAGTTTGCTTTTTTTTTTCTCCCAGGGTGTGGATTTTTTTTTTTTTTAATATGAAACAAAATTCCTGTTTTGTGTGCCAAGGTATAAAGTTGAGAACTTAGATGAATGCAAGGAATTAATTTGTGTTGTGATAAATGTGTTTTTAAAAGTTGCACTATCTTAATGTTTAAAAAAAAATATATATGAGGGAACTGTTTTATGTGAAGTTCTTCTATATGTTGTCTTTTCACCTGTGGAATAGAGTCCCAGAAGTAATCTGGAGGAGTTTGCCTCCCTCCCCCCGGGTTTGCTAGAAAAAGGGGACAGGACTTAGCCTAACATCTCTTGACTTTTACAAATCAAGAAATACAGGGACACTCGTCTTTGCAATAATTTGCATTCAAATAACAGTGCATCAATGAAGTGTCTTGGAGACTTTTGGATGGAAGACGGCAAATACGAAATCCCAGCATTTTCCACCACTTAGGGTTTAGCTGTTTTGCAGTGTAGACTATTTGTTTCGTAAACAGCAAAACGAAATCCCAGATGTGTTAATTTGTATTGATTCTTACTAAGTGCTGCCATTCTTTTCCTTTTCATAACGCAGTAACACCAGTACTGACAGTTTTAGAGATTTTTGTCCTCACTGTAGCCTGAAATGTATTTAGTTACATATCATGACATTATGCAATAAATTGTTTAAAAATGCAAGGTGGGTTTTTTCCCCTGCAATGCTGTTAAAGTACGTGAGACTCTTGTGCTTCTCGCTCCCCATTCCGTCGGTTAGATACTGCAGCTCAGTCCCGGAGATCCATCCCGTTGAAGTGAAGGGGCCCCCGTAGCTCTCACCCCCCGTGCAGTTTGCGCAGCGGTACCGAGAGCGCTCGTGACCGTGGTGCTGGCTTCTCTGGCGTCCCTGGCAGTGACCGGTTATTCTCACCACGAACCATGTTTGCTCTGGGCCCTGCTGTGGAAACCCTCCTCCGTGCGTGTCGTAGGGCTGAGGCCAGCAGGAGCTCTGCTCATGGGTAAAGGTGACTCGCCTGTTAACTGTCTGTAAGCCCTAGTTTTGCCACGCTGGTCTTCAGAGTAGTTGGAAAGTGATAACCTGGCTGTGAGGTGGCCCGTGGGGCGTTTCTTCCCTGGCTGTTTCATGGGGGGGTTGGCCAATGGTGGTAGTGGCATCACAAGCACATGAAAAAGCACAACTTGCACTTAAAATGCATTTCGGAAATGGACTTAAAGTAAGAACCTTTAGAGTCTTAGCTCAAATAGTTTCTAATATACGTGTACAAGTACGTCATAGACCTTTCCACTTTACGATCTTTCACTTCTTTCTGTTCTGTTAAGCCTTGTGCTTGGCTGGGGGCAGCAGCCCTGGGGGTGCTGTGGGGGCTGCGTTGCCCGAGCGCCTGGTCCCGTGGCTGGAGGCTGGATTTCTGCAGGACTTCTGTGCCCCGGGGGCTCGGATAACTGAAGTGCATCTTTGATCTATGCAGAGTTTTAATGCCAAAACAGTATGCGTGTCTGTGTGCGTGTGTTTTACGGGCCTCAGCGTAGATTATTTTCTTCATAAGGCAGTTGGGTTTTATTCTAGTTTAGAACACGTTTGTGTAACCGTTAGTCTGAATATGCACCCTCATTTGTCTCTGTAATTGTTTTTTTGGTCTGAGTCACGCTGGTGATGCAGAGCAAAGCTGCCTTTTAATTTATGTGTTATTTGAAGAGAGAGATTGTATGATGGGATTCACTTATTTTGTTTCCACTCGGGCTCAGAGGAGAGGTGTTTAGGAGATGACTAGGTGGCTATCAGTCATGTCTGGTTCCTGGGAATATAAGCTGTGAAATTAGATTTTTGCAAACAACCTATTAACATATTTCTTAGTTTAAAAAGCAAAACAAAACAAGAGCAGAAGACAAAACTAGCAAATACTGGTATTGTTCTTCAGTGACTTTTGTTGTCCTTCAGAAGTGAGCTTTTAGGTCGGAGAAAGTGTGTGCCTACACAAATAATTTGCTGTTGCCTAAATGAGGATTATTTAGCCGAGAAGCCTTTAGGTAAGAACAGCTGGAACTCAGTTGTCATGGCAGAGCACACCTGGACTGGGCCCTGGGCTTTGGCCAGTTGAGTACCAACTTTTCCCCATGCACAGATGTCAACAAAGTGAGCCTTGAAGTTGTCTTCAGAGTCACCTCTTGGGAAGGTGCTTTCTTTGAAGACAGCCCTTTGCCATCTTTTGCCATCGCTGCATGTCAGTGGAGTTACACACTTCCCATTAACATCATCTGCTGATTGACGCGTGCGCTGTTGTCTCTTAATTTTTCTTTGTGTGGAAAATGTAACCTGTTCCAGTTCTGTAGAAAAGATTTGTTTAAAAAGAACTTGGTATTTGCTCAACTAATGGCTGCGTTTCCTCTTGCATCTTCTCTTTCTCATCACTTTCTGCTGTCCAAAGCTGATGTGCAGCCAGTAGACCTGTCGGCTCTGAAAGCATAGTCAGCTGTTGTTTGCTATAGGTGAGCTTGCAATCTGCTGCTGTTGGTTTGGGGGCTCTTACAGGAGTAAATAAGGTATTTTCTGATGAATAGTAGTGACCTCCAATGGGAGTCCCACCGGTTGCAACAGTGTGTTTTTCTGTTTTCTTCTTTTGTTGCAGTGAGAGAGAATGTGCCCTCGCTAACACAACAAAGTGGTAAAAGCAGGAATATCAGACTTAGCACTATCAGTCTGTACAGGCTTAGAAGTGTGATCTCTGAAGACAGGTAATTCTATGAAGCACTTATGGAAAACTCCCTTTGGAGATATCCAAGATTAATAAACTGTTCCACAGCCACTCAAATGAAGCTTTGTAAATTATAAAAGATTTCTGCAAACATTGTAGAGTTAATTGTGTAGACTATACCTCCATACTGGTTTATGTGTATCATGCACAAACCCTACATAATATGTGTGTGGAGTTTTCTATAGAATCATAGAATCATTCAGGTTGGAAGAGACCCTTCTATGTGATGGATCATATTAGCCTGAATTCTGGTTGCATCTCCTGACCTTTACCCAGTGACCCATCTTCTCAAAATTCAGTCCAGTCATGTCCCCACTCTAGAAATTTTCAAGTTAAAAGATTTATTTTTCAAATGTACCTTTAAGAAAGGAAGCATTATGACCTCTATCCTACCACAAATGTTAATTTTTCCCCCTCTGTGGCTTGGCATGGCTCCCTTCTTGGTGCTAAGTATGCCCCATCTTTGCTCTTTCCCTATGACCTTGCAGGGCTAGAAAAGGCAGGGGTTTAGTCACAGAAAAGAGATTTCTCTGCCAGTTTCCCAATGGAGCACTCAGCTCAGATTCTGGATGTACGTGTAGCCTGGTTGTGGTTGGGTTCATCCCAGGGCTGTACAAGCAGGATCTTTGTATGTGAAGCTGCTTTAAAGGTGTAAGTGGGTAATGAGACGACTTGTACCCATTGAGCAGAGCCGTGCGCAGGCGCCTTTCCTGGCGTGTGGCACATAACAGAATTCATGGTACTTCACATAATAGATTGGTTTTGTCTGGGAGGACCTAATTAAGCTACTGATGAACTCTGCACTTAACACAGTCTCAGTCTGATATCACTTTATTACAGCATGCTATTTCCTTGTGATAGACACGTGTCCCATGTACAAGTTCTTGATGGCTAGTGAGGAAGGTATTTACATTCCTGCAGTCGTGGAATCTGCAGGAGCTGTGGGTCAAGCTGTGCTTCATTTGGCTTTTTATTATTGCTTGCCTACTTTTCCCATCAATTTGTCCCAGCTGGAAGCTGCTTCTGTTATCCCAGAATAATCCTAAATAATACAGTAATGAATAAGTAATGAATTTTTGCGTTGCAGAAATATTAGAAGTGTTGCTGAGTTGTTGGGTTTTTTTCCTGTGAATGTTCAGGGAAGGGCAAGGAGTGAAATGACATTGTTTCTGAAAGAATGCACTTTCTTTGCAGTAGGGAAGAAAGCCTTGTGCTGCTGGAGAGTCCCATGCGTAGGCTGTCTGGAATGGCACTGTCTGGAGCAGTCCTTTCAAGCCCTGCTGGGTAGTGAGATACTGGACCTTAAAACTGACACTCTGATCTGGAAGGAATGTTGGGATGGTCTGGAGAAAATTGATTACTCACCTTTCTCTGACTCTGAGCCCTGAATGCTCATGGTAACTAAGGCAACCTGATTTCTTGGGCAAAGAAAAAGAAAGTAGTATGCTGGTGAAAGTAGATATGCTCCAAAATTGTTCTTTGGGTTTTTTTCCCTTTCCCTTTCCTTTTTTTTTTTTTTTTCTGACTTCCCCAAAGGATAAACAATAGACTTGCTGGTACATTTGCAGGTATTTAGAATTATTTGTAAGTTCTCTCTTTACCATTAAGTCATGTCCATGCACGTGTGTGTGTATACATACCCACATGTGAACTTGTGCCTGTATCCACCCCCTGATTATCTCCTTATTAGTCACTGTACCGTAATCACCTTCCAGAAATGCTAAATGTGCTCTCAGGAACAACGACAGGTCATTTGTCGAACAGCTGGAGGCATGAGGAATATTTGCTTTTCAGTCCTGTAAATGTCATGGCCCTGTTTTTATCAGTAGGGGTGGTTTCTTGCTGTGCAAAGTCTTGCCTGTGACCCGGTGCACTAGTGCATCTTCCATCCAACAGCTTTCTCCTTTTCGGTGAGCTTTGAAAAAAATCCTTGTGCTTTTAGGACAACCCTAATGTAGACCTCATGCATGGATGTACGGGAAGGAAATGTACGTCGTGTACTCTGAATCGCAGAAGCATGTTTTGTCAAACCTAGCTGATGTTGGGAACCAAGAGATCCATTTGTACGGTGGGTTCAGATGAAGGCTGGCTTTTGATTATGTCTCTGCTTTTTAGATAAAGGCTGCTGCAAAGAATTTAATTACACATATCTGGGTTTTGGTTTTTTTCCTGCACTGTGTTGCCTGCTTCCCAACCAGTGTGATTGTAACTTTTCTCCTAAATTAGCCCCAAATGTGTCAATTGTTTAAGTTCCTGGAGAGGGGTACTCTTAATGAATTGACCTGTAGAGGCCTCTTAGAGCATGGAAAAGTCTCTTGTGAGGTTGTGTTGAACTTACAGGGGTGTCCCGTCCGAAGACTCTGTTCTGTATGTTTCGTTAGGAAATTAAAGCTTTGAGAATTGCCCAGCTGAAAATGTTGGTTGGTAAGATTTATTTATTTATTTTTTAATACTTAATATATTTGCCAGTCTTTGCTCATCAATCAGAGGTGCAACTTACCTTCTCACCCACCTCTGATTGCCGTTGCTAAGCTGGCAAAAGCCCCATTGGGCACACTTGCACCAGCAAAAAAGGGTCATTTTCTTGGATCAGCTCCGCTTGGGGAATCAGCAGAAGCTGCACCACTAAGTTCAGCCTCCAAAACCAACATCAGGCCTGCACTGCCTCTTCCCAGCAAACTCAGCTGTAGGTGATGGCTCGGTTTCCATGAAGTGCTTTACCAAGGCTAGTCAGTACCACAGCCACACAGTGGGGAAGGCTACTGGTGTCTCCTTGAAATTGCAGCTGTTTGCATTAAATACATTTCAGGGCTGCTCGTGCAGTTTTTGTAACCGCTCATGACACTTCTCCTCCTTTCAAACGAGAAAACTGAGCGTGATTTTGTGTTGAGAAGTGTTGCAAACTCTCCTGGCTCTTACTTCTGCCTTGCTGTTGTCTCTGTTTTATTTTTAGACTGAACGCAAGCAACCTGGGTATTGCTAGTGTCCCTTTCCTGCTAGAGAAGAGCTTACCTTTTTATGTTGGTTAACGATAAAGAAACAAACTTATAACCTGGATACTTCCCCCTTCCCTCCGACAACCACCCTGTGTGTGATTTCCTGCCGGAGATGACTCTGTCATTTCTTTGCTGTATTGCTGCTGCTGCTGCTGTTTTAAATGGTTTGGTGTGTGAGCTTTCTGAAACAACGTGGTGTGTGTAGGATCTCGTGGGTGACAAAAGCTGTCTCTTTTCTTCTTCCTTTCTCTCCTTGGTTTGTGCTTGTCTGTCCGCTGTGGTAGGGTTATTAATAAATTATATCCGTCCGTATTAGATATAATTTTGAGGAGGTTTGCATGTCAGTAGTTTGTAAGCAACTAAGGTGCCTCATGTTCAGGTCTGAGCAGATAGGAATCCCCTTGCACTTGAGAGGGCCTGATCCAAAGCCTGGTGAAGTTGGTAGGAAGACTCTTGCTGACTTCAGGGGGCTTTGGATCAGGCCTTACGCTCCCACCTTTGTTGTGCCTCACTTAAAATGGTGCTTTTTCAGTTGTCTGTCTTTTTTTGTTTTTTTTTTTTCTTTGTATGGTGCTGTGTATAACTTGAATATATTATGCACATATCCTACCCAATGGGTAGAACAAACAAACATACAAAAACAAATAGAAGTTGTTAATACTGTAAGATAATGTATAGATGATACCAATTTTAACACAAAAAAAAAAACATGGCATAGACTTTGTGAATGCCAACTTCTGTGCTTGGTCCTTTTTTGTAAGAAAATTTGCAGATGAATGCATACAAATGACAAAAAGTCTATGTATTTTATTTTCCTATTAAATATCAATATAATATCACATAAGGGAAAAAGTTTGAACAAATCCTTTTTGACTAGCCTGTGTATAGCAATTGGTCGTTTGATGCATCTTTGCTATGAAGATTTGTTTTTTTTTTTAAATGTGTCACTTTAAGAAAAAGGAAAAAACACAAAACAAAACCTCCACAGCTTTAACCTTGCAATTAGATGCTTCTTGTATTGGTTGTTGCCTTGCTATTGCTGAGTTGGACCAGTATTATTCTTCAGCAGATAATGTTATTTATTATCCTTGGTTACCTTTTTTTTTTTTTCCTAACTTAGGAACGGTCTAAAAACTTTCGAATCTTTTTATCCACATCCTAGATTTGAAGTGAAGCTCAGACTAGTGGGAACTGACCCGAACCATCCCTGCAAAATCAAAACTAGGCCAACGAGAGTTTTGTGAGAACAGCCAGCCCTTGCTCTATGTCCTCTGCTGGTACGCGATCCTGCCACTGCGAAAACTCTCTGAAGGTTTGGTGTGTAGCTGGGACTGGTGGCAGACCTGTGCAGCTGGAGGGTGCAAGCTTTTCAGGGTGGGTGAGACGAGCCGTGGTTGGTGGTGAGCTGAAGGCAGGCTGTGAGCGGGAGCTTGGGATGGGCAGCTGACAGCAATGGCTCAACCCGGGTTCATAGTTAAGATTATTTAGGAGAAATGCCTAAACCTGTTTAGACCCAGTGTGGGAAGCACTGTGGGAAGTGATCCAACACTGTTAACTCTCTGCCAGGCTCCCCCAGCTGTGTGGTTCTCCCCTGGTGTCTCCGTGCATTCGGCTGTCCATCCCCGTGCCCCCACACGGGCTCTTCAGTAAAGCAAATACCTCAGGAAAACTCAACATGAAGTTCTAGTGTAGAGACTTGCAGATGCTGTACTTATTTTTCTAAACTGTTTGTTCTAACTACGCCAGGACAGTAGGTGATGTAGAAGTTTACCAGTCCGAGACAGACTCGTCCTCTCACGGATGGATACCGACTAATCTTTCATAGATACTCGTGTCATTTTGTAGCTTTTTTAATACGTGTCAGGCTTTAACCACAGATGGAAGGTAGCAACGTGATGGGATATGTTTGAGATGGCATTTTGTTTGGATTTTCAGATGACTAGCGAAACGCTACGCTAAAACTCAGGGGGCCTTATCTGGGGCCCGGTGAAGTCAATGGTGAGGCTTCCTCTGGTTTGAGTGGGCTTTCGGTCTGGTCCATCATGCTTGAGGATGGTGCCTTGGAGCGCAGTCCTTCCTGACTTCTCTGGTGACCTGACACTTCAGCTACACGTTTGTCTGTAAATATCTTTTTAAAAGCCCTCACAGGAGTCTTGTGTCTGAATGTTGACCATGGTTATTTTCTTTTTTTGTTTTAAAGAAGCGTGTCAGTTTTTATGGCCAGTTCTGCATCATCAAGCCCTTACAGGTCGCTTGTGTCCCTCCCTCTGTATACAGAGCTGTTTTATCCGTAAGCACGTACCATAGGGAAATGCGCATATTTCATGATAGCCATTAGTTAACTCATTTATTATTTGTCAGGACATAAAGTAATTGTTTTGGAAGTATGCCTTGCCTGGCCACGTTCACGTTTCTGTTTGCACTGCAGTACCACTTCTGTGCATGAAGGAAGAAGAACAAACAAAAAACCCCAGGCCTTGACTAGGAAGGCTCTACAGAGTAAACCTCCTGCTGGAGGAATCTAGGGTAGGATTTATCATAACAAAACTTGCATATTGAGTGGACCAAACATGAGCATGTCTCCTTTTAGAGGCACTAATTTGCTTTGAAGCTGTAGTGGAAAGAGCAGACTGTCTATTACGTGTACTCACAGCTGCGTTCATGCTTTTCCATTTACCACGAAGCACAGCAGGCAGCCAAGATTTTTAAAGAAATATAAGCAGAAGTTACAAGGGCCTCAGGCATCGTAGACCTGGAAAGCAAAAATAATAATAGTAATAAAAATAACTTTAATATGCTTTAACAAAGCTTTTCTACTTACAGTACAAAGACCACATTAGCGTCGATAGGGGTTTTATCTTTGTATGGCTATCAGCTGCCCGACGCTGCTGTGCTCAGAGCATTTCACGTTGGTATGTACATCAGTCAGGCTGTTACACTTAAAATTAACCATCAAATACCTGGTTTTAGAGCATTGACCCTTTCTTTGTTGTTTCTTGCTAGTTATTTTACAGTGTAAAATGCTTTATTGCTATATGGATTTTTTTTTGTATTTCCGACATTGTGGCTTCCAAGATCATGTTTTCAACACGTCTCTTATTTTTGTCCATTTTGTTTCAAGCTATTCTGAAATATGTACAGCACTATCAACAATATTTAATCTTTCTTTTAAATTTTATTGTTGTAAAAACAAAGCTATTAAAAGCAGTAAGTCTTTTTACAACTGTATTGGAATTTCTCAGTAGCTGTTCATGTGACGCTATGACAAACCTGGCTTGCTTTAATTTTTTTAAAATTTTATTTTCCTTTTAACACAATTAGTTTGTTGCTTTTTTTCCACAGTAACTCCCAGTTATATACAGGAAAAGATTTCAACTGTTGTGTATCTGACTCTTTTAATTGAGCAAATGGTGATGTCCTAGTTTTTAGACCTAAGGTCTGTTTATTGCAATACTTTTAAAGGAAGATGTTGCTCTAAGTGCTGTTGTTAGTTTTAAATACAGATTTTATGCTTGTTCTTAATATGCTGTGGTTAAACCATGGCACAAAATTATTAAAAATCATGAAATGCATTTGTCTCCTGTTGAATTTATTTTCTCTTTGAAGTGAAAAAGCAAAACTGAACAAAACAAAAAAGGTGAAACGCTAGAGCAGCCTTCTGTAAAACAAGTACTTGTCTTCTGCCCTGGCTGGTTTGCTGCTGGCAACCAGGTGGCTGATCATGAAGGAATCAGAGGGTGAACTGGGCCCTTGGAACAGAGGTGAGGGCCCTGGGAAACGGATGTCTGATGAGGATTTTACATCACTGTTGTGACTTTCACCTTTGGTGATGAATACTGGGATGACTTCAGCTGTTTCTGCCCTCCCTCCCTGCCAGAGGCAGCTGTGTGTGAGCGCCCGCCCGTCACCCCTGTAGTTAGCAGTCTAGACTCTTTATCTAAACCACTCCTGACTTCAATTCCTTTCAGATAACAACCCCGCCTCAATCTCCTGATAAGCCCAGGGTGTTGGTGGCTGCCTCTGGCTCATCAGTGCTGACCGACCAGCTGGGGCATAAGCAGTGGCCCCAAGTCAGCAAGTTGCAAACATTGATTAAAACCCAAACATACAGGATACGGCTCATGGGGGAGCGAGGAGAAAGCACAACCTGGTTTAAGAAAGCTGGGTCATGCTTTTTGGGTGGTACTTAAAATGAGTGATTGTGGTACAGTGGGGGAAAAAGAGAGATGATGCAGTTAGTAAGAAACTAGACAAAAGGGTCCTGTGAAAGACACTTGTCTTTGGTAATACAGATCTTTGCAAGGTAGATCAAACTACCCATGGCTGCTACCTGTCACTTTGCTACACTAAAGCTTAACAAAACCAGGAAAGATCTTTTTTAATTTATTTTTTTTTTTCAGAGCAGTTAAGTTTCTGTTTGGAGGTAAGTGATGCTTTACTTAGCATGATTATTAATGAAATCAGTCTCTTGCATTATTTTTTTATACCTGTGCTTGCTGGAGCTTGGTCTTCTGGTGTTGAGAAGTGATGCTTAGAGGGAGGTAGTAATTCAAACCTGGGGCTTTCTCACAGGTCTCTTCAAGAGAGGTGGGTCTGCTGCGGGAGCCACAGTCCCAGCCCATTTCTGGTACCTTGCTTACTGAGCAGCCTTCCTATTAAACTCAGCTGGGAACCAGGGCGTTCTCCTTGCTGCTGTTCTTTTCAAATGGTACAATACTTATTTTTGGTTCAAAAGTAACTGTTTTCTTTTCCTATAACCACCCTGAGTTAGCTCTCCTCCATCTACAGCATTTTAATTATCTTTAGTACTTAGAAAATCGCTAGTTCCTTAGTCCTTAGAAGTGCTCCAAATCTCCAAGCTTCTGCTCCTCCTCTGCTGTCTGAACCCTGAACTCCCTGGAAACTGAAAATTTTTTTTGAGCCTGCTTTGATCTTTTACTTAATCTGGTTTTAATTGTATTTATATTTGTTTTATAATATGCCATTCTGTTTGATTGTGTTTTAATATCTCTGCCAATGGTTGCAACTCAGAACTTGGCTATAAATGGGATGTCTCATCTCAGTAGGGTTACTTTTTCCTGTTAAAAGATTAATACAGTGGCTGCTGCAGTCCTCTGAAACCTCTAGGTCTGGCTTCCAGGCTCCCAGCAGTATTGCGTCTCATTACAAACACCCTGTTTTTAACATCCCAAACCCTTTTCTTCCAAAGACCCCTCTGTAATGAGACTTCGTTACTTAGACAAAAATTAATTAGGCTTCTCTCATTATCACTGTTTTGATCAGTTGTGCTTTAAATGAGTTCTAATTAAAATGCACATTTTAAAAACCTTGCTGCTGAATCCTGTTCTAATAGCTCGTGTCTACTGTGGCGATGCCCTGCTTTTGTGCAGTTTGCATTGTGCCACTTTCACAGAAGTCTAGCACTGATTAGGATAAAAACTTGCACTTTTTTTTTTCTTTGCTTGTTTTCTACATTATTTTTTTTTACAGATTGACTGCCAAGTGATTGCTCCTGAGAGTGGGGATTAGAGCTGAGGTACCAAATTCTTCACGTGGTAAAACTGATGAGCTGAGTTTCTCAGTATCCTTTATAGTGATTAACGTTACTTGTCCCTGGAATGTTTCAAAATACAAGAGAGAAACTATGTGCTGTACTTGCTACTATTTGATCGCCTATTTCTGCTTACCTTAGGTGTTCCAAGTTGCCCTCAATGTGTTATTCAGGTTGGCAGAACCGCATGATCTGTCCCAGTGATGTCCATCACACGCTAAGCCGAAGGCAGCTTTGCAGGGATGCCAGTGGATGTACTGACTGCAGCTAGAGGGGTATGTTGAAGGCTTGTTCTCCTTAATAAAGGGACTAATATGTTTACTGTAAAATATTTTGTACGCTTTAATGGTTTCCACTATGAAGTGCATTGTGGAACAGTAGCAGAAAGGTGCTAAAGCTATTTTGAAGAGGAGGAAACACACATTAAGAAGGCTGTGGCAGGTCTGTGTCAGTGCTTGGGAATAACCTCCCATTGCCACTGTTTGTCAGTCCCTCCAAGCATGAGGTGTAGTTTCTCTCTTACTTCTAACACACACCTACTGCTGTCTTGTACAGAGCTATTTTTCTGTGTCTGGCTGATAGTCGCAGGGGTTTAAGCAAGGAGCCAGAACGTAGCCATCCCTCATCCAGAGAAAGAGGGCATCTTTTTCATGGAGGCCAAAATGCCATCCGTGAGCCCCAGAAGCTCCCTTCAATGCCAACACCAGATCACTCCAGATTAATTTAACATTTGCAGACATTACAGTGATTGACAGTCACGTTGAGTGGAAAATTCTGGTTTAATCCCACTCTGTGTGCCACAGACATGGGCTCAGACAGCTTGACCTACATTTAAACCTGGGCAGCAAGAAACTCTTAGGGGAAAAAGAAAAAAAAAAAAGTAGTTTTCATCTCAAAGCAGTGAGAATACTCCAGCTTATTACGTGTCCCTGTGTATATTTATACACCCACAATTGTGTTAGAACACTGTGAATATTTCATAAACTGAGCTGAGTTTGCCCTAGTTGGCTTTACTTGGTGAAGAAGCCACAGAAGTCAAATATAAAAGCACAACTGTGCTTGCATAGCCGTTCAGCAGGGTTTATGGCAAAATGTATAGGAGCTAGTTCTTTCCTGGCAATGGGGTTAGGACTGTAAGCGCTATAAAATTTGCCTACAGCTGCAAACTTCGTAGCTCTTGGTGGGGAGTGGGGTGGGGAAGCTGATGAGCTGGTGACTTTCGCTAATGTTGTCAGGAAAAGCCTAACAGGTAAAGCTTGACTGACTAACTGCAAAATTGGACTGGTTCATTTGGCCCCCGTCGTTCTGCAAGATCAAGGGTGCTGATAGTTACTTGAAAGTTTAACTGTATTTGTTTTGGGTAGTCGCTGGTGCAATATTAGGTGTCACAGCTTCTCAGCAAGAGGTGCAGTGGCGTGTGTTAAAAGCCATATGGCTGAGGGATAACTACATTAGCTGCTCAACAGGCAGGCCCTCTCACCTTTTGAGTGATGCTGCATGTTCTGCTGGTATTATGCTCGTAGAGAAGAAAATATGCATGCCAGCTCCAGCCATACGCCCGGGGAAACAGACACTGTCCTCTATTGTAAAATTCTATTCTGGCAGGAAACTAGAATCGCCACCTGACAGTGACACGGAAGATATGAAGTGCCTGTCTGCATTAAAACTGTACTCAGGGCAAACTGTGCAGCTGTAGTTTAAGTGTTGCTTGTGCATCAGCAGTTTTACTTTCTGCTTTAGAGCAGACTGGCTGTTTACAGGTACATGCTATCCAGGTATGTGCAACTGTTTAAATACAGGACTACTGCACAACAACCTGAAAGCGTAAAATATAGTGATAGTGACATTAGGCAGAACATGCTCCTTATATAAAATTAGTGTGTTATCTTCATTTTCCTGGTTTATCTAATCCAGGATAAAAATGAAATACAGGTATTTGGCGAACTGAAGCATTAGCCATCAGTCAGTCAAAGCTGAGAAATGTCCCTTCCCCCACTAAAATCCTTCCGAAGTGTCTCCTTCTGCCCTGAAGCAGGGCTGCCACGCCTGGGAGGTGGCTGAAGGCCGTAGCTGTGTGCAGACGCCTGCGTTTGGGGGAAAGGTGCTGTGAGTCAGCTCTCGGGGAGTGCCTGGATAAAGAGCAGCCCCGTGGATGGGAAGGCGCTGGCGGGAAGTGCCAGACGGTGCCAGCCGAGGTCACCTCCCGCTGCTCACCCCAGAGACTACTCAGCATGAAGGGCAAGTACTGTGTTACTTCTCGTCTCTTAGCTTCTCTTGTGTTCTCTCGGCCACACATCCTTATCAGCTCTCTGGCAACTCTTTTGGCATTGATGGGCAAATCCATGGGAAATAATAATTAAAAAACCCCGTGTGGTAAGCTTGCAGCTTGTGTATTTAGAGTCTAATAGTGGATCTGCATCTTGTCTCCATCTGCTCCGTGGCTGCATTTGGGAAGACATCAGTAGGCACAAGGGCCAGGTGAGCGCAGAGTTTGCAAGGAGCCCATGCTGTCTCGATGCCTGCTTTACGTGTCAGGAAGCCATGGCACATATAGTCTGGCACTAAATATGCTAAACCTGGGTTTAGCCCATAGGTGAACCAACATTATCGAAACAGCTTTTGGCAGCAGCCCAACACTTCAGCTACTCCAGTGTGAAGCCGTGTAACACAGAAATATTGCCACGTGGTTCATGAGTTCCTCCTGGGGAATGCTGAAGCCCAGAGGTTGCAAATGAAATCTTGCTAAGAGTGGTTGCTTTCTCTCTAAGCCCATCCATGTCTTGCTTTCTCAGGGAGCTGGGACATAGGAGTTGTGCCAGTTTGAACCTGTTTTCCCGTGGAGGACAGTTCTTTAAGGTAATGAACAATGTTTAGAGAAATGGGGCATCACCTTCAGGGGTGGGTGCTATCATGACCACCATTACCCCCCTGGCTCCTGGCTGGAGACCTGTGTTCACTGCCGTGCCTGTGAGGAGTAAGTGCTCTCTGGGCACTCACAGAGCTGCCCCACATCATGAGGATATCTCACATCTGGCACCTGAGGAGTCCTGAGCAGCTTTCAGTTATATCAGTTCTGCACACAAAAAGCAACAGGTTTAGAGGCTATTTTTTTTTTTTTTAAACACTGCATTTAAAAAAAAAATAAGAAAAACTTTTAAAAACAATGCTGGAGAATTTATCTGAGGTAGGTTCTTCTCTGATTGTGGTTTAGTCTCTGGCCACTTGGCCAGACACAGAAGCAATTTGAAATCTTTCTTTAATTATGTGTTTTCATGAAACTATTTCCCTGTTGTATTGGAATTGGTTTCTTTTTTTTTTTTTTTCCTCTTTTTTCATTCCTAAGCAAGTCTGTGTAACCTCCCCTGTGTTCCATCCTCTGTCATTGTCCAATCAATTAATCAAACTCAACCCCAAACTTAATGCTACATGTTGCCCTGCAGGCTTATGAAATGAAGACATATTCTTTCTTCTTAAGAAGATCATCTTCATCAAAATAGTCAGATAATTGCCAGAGGATAATTATGATTCTCTAATTACTATTGTTGCTGCTGTTAAGTGATGAACAAGGATGAATGCAGCATGAATGCTCTAAGCCGACAGCCTGAAGGGGAAACCATCAGAAAAAAGCCTTTGGCTTCAGCTCCACCTTGGGCCACTGTTCTGTCTCTGGCCCATTACTGGGTCACAGCTTTGGCTGCAGCCCTGTTCGGGCGACTAGTGGGGTTCCAACCCCTAGCTGGGCTGCACCTTCAGCTCTGGCACTGACTTCAGCCACAACTGGCTCTGATCCCTGTTTAGGCCATTATTTTGACTGGCCCCATTTTTTGGCCGTCACCTCAGCTCCAGCCAATTTCTCAGGCCATGATTGCAGCTCCGGCCTCATCTTGGGCTGAGGCGTTGGATCCAACCTGGATCCTGCCCTGGATGCCAGGGCATGACTTTGGCTCCAGCCAAAGGCTGGACAAAGGCTATGACTTTGTTTCTTGCTCCATCTTGGGCTGTGATTTTAACTTTGGCCTCTGCTCAGGCTGTAACTTCAGCTGCAGCCCCATACTAGGCTGCAATTTTGGCTTGGCCCCATCTTGGTCTGTGACTTTACTCCAGCCCTAACTCAGGCTGATATTTGGACCCTGGCCCAATGTTGGTAACAACCTTGGCTCTGCTGGGACTTCAGCTCTGGTCCCTACTTTGGCTGTGACTTCAGCTCCGGTCCCATCTTGGGTCACAACTTCAGCTCCAGCCAGTATCAGGCCATGACTCCAGCTCTGGATCCTTACTGGGCTACAATTTTGGCTCTGGGCCCATCTCAGGCTGTGACTTCAGCTCTGACCTCTGTTCAGGCTCTCAGTGAAGATCCGGAGCCATTTTGGGCCACTACCATGGCTCCTGCCTCATTTTGAGCAGTGACTTAGGCTCTGACTCTATCTTGGGCCACAATTTTATCTCTGACCCCTGCCCTGACCATGCATCCCCATCTCAGACAGCAGCTTTGGCTCCTGTTTCAGGCACTCCGCTGGGGAGAGTTCAGGAAGCTCTGCTGGGCACTCCTTTGCTCAGGTCACTTGCTGTCTGCCTCTGTGCCAGCTCTGGGTGCTGTGGCCAAACTGTTTGCTTTCCCAAGCACCTGCTCCTCTGACCTTTCTGGGTTGCCTAAGACACCTACTTGTGCTGCTCCACATTGAGGGACACTGCTGCAACACAGGAGTGCGCCAACTGTGCTGGCTTGGGCACCGGTAAGAAGAGACCACATCCTTTTGCTTGAGGCAAGTGCTCAGCCTGTGAGCACAGTCCATGTGCTCTGCTTCACTGGGGATAGACACTGGCTTCCAGACACAGCGACCCATCAGTAACGAGAATTGCACCCTAGAATTGTGGCAAGAGCTATGGAAATGAAGTTGTAAGAGAGATACGAGGATGAAAGTTAACTTTATCCTATAGTTAAAATTGCAGTAGCTGGCTACACGCTGGGCACTCAGTGGACTAACGCTGTTCATTCCCTGGGTGGCCCAGGAACATCCCAGCTGGTCTCTGGGCTAATGAGGCAATGCATTGATTCCAGATGAGGCTGACTTGAGACAAGGTCACCAGTGCAACAAAGCATTTGACTAATTGTCACAAAAGCTCACCAGGTCAGATTTTCAGTCCTGAAGATTGCCATTCCTACTCTGTGTAGATCAATCCATATAATTGTGTGCTTTGTTAACTGACATCTGGCTGGAGGATGCGGCTGTTCCAGAAACTCCTCGAGGCTGTTCATGCTGTAAAACTGAGCTAACAGTACATTGATGAGACACTTGCCAACAGTCACTATAAGCAGTTCCTACAGCTGCTAAAATGGTCACACAGGACAGTCTACATCCAGGAGATCTTTCATACTTAGAACTGGTAGTGATGCATCATTTAAATGCTGGAGTGGTCAAAGGCCAGCTGAACATGGGGAAGGGCAAGAGGACAGGGGTACCAAGAGGGCGTGTCTGTGTAACGAACAAGTTCTAACATACCTGGGGGCTACAGGCACATCCTTGGACACCAAGGTGCCCCTGTGCACACCCAGCCATGTGCCAAGAAGAGATGAGATGGATCCTGTGAGCTGCACCAAGAGGTTCCCACATCTGGCCCCAGACTGAGAGGATGACCATGCAGTATTCCTGGGGCAGACTTCAGGGTTTGCAGGGTACTGCAGGACACAGGCACCACTGCCTGTGAAAATGGAAAACCAGAACAAATGCCAACATGCGCAGGGGAAGAACATGCACAAGGGATGCAGTAAGGAAAAGTACATTAAAATAGAAAAAAAGAAAAGCATCTATTAACTCAAATCCTACAGTACTGCTCATCTCAGCAGAAGAGTTCACAGAATTATTTTTTAATATTTATCTGAAACATGGCACTTTACATCTTCAGGGCACTGAATATACAATGATTATTCCTCACAACATCCCTGTGAGGTAAGCAGTAGACTGCAGTTACTATCTGACATGTGGACAGAGGCAGAGAAATATGTAATCAATCCTGCACAATCAAATTAATGAAGTTCAACTTACTTAAACATGGAGAGGCCCTCAGTGACTTGACTGAAAACATGAGGCAGAGCTGATACTTCATCAGCTATATTCTTTTACTCCAGTCAATTACAATGCTCGGGGTCCAACTCTGTTGCTTCCCCATATCCCTCTGCAAAAACACACCTCTGTTAAACAAGATACATAAGCAGAGAGTTGCTACAAAGAGAGATCTAGATCCCTAGAAACAGGGAAAAAACACTTCATTTTAGCCTACATTTGAATAAAACCATGACAGAAGTTTGCCCGCTCAGTCAAATAGAACAGTTTCAACTGTAGTCCTTTATGACATCTCTGAGACAGCATTTTAAACTTCAGCTATGAATAAGTATTTGCTTGACCTAAGAAAATCTAGGGGGGAAAAGTCTGGTAGACTGTGATCACTGTCTCAGAAATTATGCTTATTTTAGTTAAATTGTTCAACCGAAGTCTGAGGGATTCCTGAATAGGAGGAACTTTTGGGTTTAACTCTAACTTTGCACGTATTTAAAGAGCCCCTTAGTATACCAATTTCTCAAGTAAACTTCTCTTTCAGAATTTTTTTGTTCTGAAAACAAAATAGAACAGTTTTGTAAACTTCAACATAATAAAAAAATCCTAGTTTTTAATATACAATATTGATTAATTTCATTTAATACCTTTCTTCTACTGTAAATCAACTTTAGGAAACAAAGTATACTTGGCAGTATGACTACTGTAATTAAATCATCTTCCTATAGCTCTCAATTGAGATTTCTGAAGAGATACACTGTCCAAGAAAGAAGATTCATAGTCTCAACCTGTAAACTATCACAGCTCAGCTGAAGTCAATGTAGCCATCATAGTTCATTCAGACTGAATAGCTAATCCATTGATTCCTTCATGTGCAGTATCAGTGATAATGGTCTGTCTCCAAGTTGAGAGATGATCACGACTCAAGAGGCCTGGGTCCACATACTCTGAAAATCAAAATATGTTGCCTTTCCCAGAAGAGATATCTTCACTTTCATTTAATGGAAGATTCAGTCTAATGGAACAATGACTGTGCACTATGATGGAAGAAGAATAAAGTAGTGGCTTTTGGAATAAATCAGCTTCATTTTGAGGGGGCGGGGATTAAAAAAGAAAAAAAAAAAAGAGGGAAGAGTGACTGTTAACACTATCACCAATGGACACACAAACTTCTAATCTAAGATTCAACTTTTTCTTCTGCAAATTGAAATTTTGTCATCACCTCTCCCTCCGGTAACTTTAACCTTGTTGAATATACACAATTTTTAAATCCACAGAGCAACTGTAGTCTCCAGACAAGGGAAAAAAAAAAGAAGGAAAAACAAAGCTCAGAAGTGCACTTTGTATATCCTGCCTCACAAAGGGTTAAAGTGCTAAGTTTGATATACCCCAAAATTAAGCATCTTCCTTAGTCCTTAATTTTTTTAAATGAAACTTTATCTTTGGTTTCTTGTATCTTCTCTGTAATTTTATCCTTTGTTTCCTCCATCTTCTCTGTAATTTTATCTTTTGTTTCCTCCATCTTCCCTGTGATTTTATCCTTTGTTTCCTCCATCCTATCTTGTAGATATTCCTTTACTGGTGGTGGTGTGGACATGTAGCCATTCTTACGTAGATATTTAACAGTGATGGACGTTCCTCCCAAAGTCACAGTATATCTGGCAGGAGTTGCAATCTTAAAGAAACCAAAGAACAAACCATATCAATAAAACAGGACGATTTTACCTAGCAAATGTATTTTTAATATCAAGAAATTATTTTTGGCCACTGTCAGATACTAAAAAGATCCTCTATTTATATGGAAATAAACCAATTTACAGTGCACCCCCCAGAAAAGCATACCTTTTGCCTAAAGTATCCTTTTGACAAAATCAGCACAGGCATTCCATTTTAAAAAAGAAACCCTCCCTGTGCATCTTGTGGGATGAGCATTATACATCTCAGAATGCAATTCAGAACAGACAGTATATGAACACTGAGCCATATAAGCAAAGAGGAAATACTGACAAGAAGATGTACCTTAAATTGCAACTGACATCATCTACCTGGACTTATGCAAAGCATCTGACACTGTCCCACATGACATCTTTGTCTCTAAATTGGAGAGACATGGATTTGACAGACGGACCACTTGGTGGACAGAGAATTGGGTGGACAGCCCCACTCAAAGAGTTGTGGTCAACAGCTCAATGTCCAAGTGGCAACCAGTCATGAGTGGCATTCCTCAGGGGTCGGTACTGTGACCAGTGCTGTTTGACATCTCTGTTGGTGACATGGACAGTAGGACTGAGTGTACACTCAGCAACTTTGCCAATGACACCAAGCTGTGTGGTAAAGTTGACACACTGGAGGGAAGGGATGCCATCCAGAGGGACCTGAACAGGCTCGAGAGGTTGGCCTGTACAAACCTCATGAAGTTCAACAATGCCAAGCACAAGGTCCTGTGCATGGGTCCCAGCAATCCCAAGCACAAATACAGGTTGGATTGAGAGCAGTCTTGAGTGAAATTATTTTTGGCCACTGTCAGATACTAAAAAGATCCTCTATTTATATGGAAATAAACCAATTTACAGTGCACCCCCCAGAAAAGCATACCTTTTGCCTAAAGTATCCTTTTGACAAAATCAGCACAGGCATTCCATTTTAAAAAAGAAACCCTCCCTGTGCATCTTGTGGGATGAGCATTATACATCTCAGAATGCAATTCAGAACAGACAGTATATGAACACTGAGCCATATAAGCAAAGAGGAAATACTGACAAGAAGATGTACCTTAAATTGCAACTGACATCATCTACCTGGACTTATGCAAAGCATCTGACACTGTCCCACATGACATCTTTGTCTCTAAATTGGAGAGACATGGATTTGACAGACGGACCACTTGGTGGACAGAGAATTGGGTGGACAGCCCCACTCAAAGAGTTGTGGTCAACAGCTCAATGTCCAAGTGGCAACCAGTCATGAGTGGCATTCCTCAGGGGTCGGTACTGTGACCAGTGCTGTTTGACATCTCTGTTGGTGACATGGACAGTAGGACTGAGTGTACACTCAGCAACTTTGCCAATGACACCAAGCTGTGTGGTAAAGTTGACACACTGGAGGGAAGGGATGCCATCCAGAGGGACCTGAACAGGCTCGAGAGGTTGGCCTGTACAAACCTCATGAAGTTCAACAATGCCAAGCACAAGGTCCTGTGCATGGGTCCCAGCAATCCCAAGCACAAATACAGGTTGGATTGAGAGCAGTCTTGAGTACTTGGAGGTGTTGGTTGATGAGAAGCTCAACATGAGCCAGCAATGTGCGCTTGCAGCCCAGAAAGCCAACCACATCCTGGTCTACATCAAAAGAAGTGTGGCCAGCAAGTTAAGGGAGGTGATTCTGCCCCTCCGCTCTGGTGAGACCCCACCTGGAGTACTGCATCCAGCTATGATGCCCCCAACATATGGACATGGACTTGTTGGAGCAAGTCCAGAGGAGGGCTGGAGCACCTCTCCTATGAAGACAGGCTGAGGGAGTCAGGGTTGTTCAGCCTGGAGAAGAGAAGGCTCTGGGGAGACCTTATAGCAGCCTTCCAGTACCTAAAGGGAGCCTAGAGGAGAGATGGGGAGGGACTTTTTATCAGGGAGTCTAGTGATAGGATGAGGGTAAACGGTTTTAAACTGAAAGAGGGGAGATTTAGATTAGGTATTAGGAAGAAAATCTTTACTGTGAGGTTGGTGAGGCACTGGAACAGGTTGCCCAGAGAACTTGTGGATGCCCCTTCCTGGAAACATTCAAGGCCAGGCTGGATGGGGCTTTGAGTAACCTGGTCTAGTGGAGGTGTCCCTGCCCATGGCGGGGGGTTGGAACTAGATGATCTTTAAGCTCCCTCCTAACTCTAACCATTCTATGATTCTGTGAAATTCTAAAATTCACAACAGTATAGGCACCTTTCAGTCCAAAACTAGGACCCGCACATAAAGAACTAGAGCTAAGAGACCTTAAGAAGTCAGCTAATCCAAGACACAAACCAAGTTCATTATTCTCATACACTAACCTGTTATTTCAGAACTTTAAAGTCTGCTCAATTTTCCCTTTGCAACCTACTCTAATGCTTCCACATCTTGAATGTTTCTTCCAACACTGCCAGATCTCCCAGCTATAACAAAGTCTTTATATTTAACTACATTTGTTTATTGGTCTCTTTTAGGCACAGGAATAATTGGTAAGAGTAGTGTGTTCACATTTTGTTTCAGAAAATAACCCCTTTAAATAACAGATAAGCAGCACATCACAGTTGGAAACAAAACAGATGAGTGGCATTTGAAGCGAATACAGTACTTTGGGTTTTGCATGGTCTGACATGTTTCAGGTTTCCCAAGCAATACAGAGACCCAAACCTGAATGTAAATAATTGATTCAAATGGACAGCAAAAGTACTTGTCAATGATGGAGAAACTAAGGTAGGAAGATAAACTAACAAATCCTCTGAGATCAAAATAACTGTACTTTTATCCAGAAATCATCAAGTATTTAGACTTTGTCCCTGTTAATTATGTCAGGGATATAACAGAGGCGTAACTTAATCGCAATTAAATCTCTGAGGGCAGACAATAGTTTTGCACCAAACAAAGAAGTTATTTTAGAAATATAGATTCCTTAAAGGAACATAGAGCCCATGTCAACTTGCATGTCACTGTTTTTACTACAAAAATGAATGTGTTAATTATCAAAGAGAGAAAACAGCATTAATTCTTTTTGATGTAAACAATAGACCCTGTTTAGCTCACCAGGCAAGATTTAGAGCTTATTTACAAATTATAATTATACTTACTTTATACAATGCATATGCAGTTAGTGCATTTCCACTCTGGGAATTTTTCAGGATGCTTACTATGCTGTCTGGTAAACCAATCAATTCTAGGAATGGAACAACATTCACTCCTCTATAAAAGAGAAAAAATTTGCAACCTGAATTGGGATCTAAAACCTGAACAGTGATTTACAGTACTATTTCCATTCTTCAGCTCTATTATACAAACTTTGTAATTTGATAGCAAAGTATTTTTTTATCTAATCAATATACTTACAGGATTTATATTTCTGTACATACAGGCAAATTAACGTTTTCAGCATTCCAAGAGCTGACCCATTTATATTATCCCTGTCCAGCTGAGTAGCTACCAACTTACCTGCGTCCCAGTTTATTATGTTTGAAGCTAAGTTGACACAATGGTGGCAAGACAGCTATTCAGGCTCCAGTTGTGCAGGTTCAACTTCATGTTCTCTTTTGCATAAAATTACTTTTTTTTCTTTTTAAAATTTCAGACTAATCTGTGGCATGTACAGAAGCACAGAATCCACACTTCAGTGTCCTCCATTCACTATTAAATGTATTAAATAAATGGAATGTGGTGCAAGAAAATGAAGCAACACATTATATGGACAAGACTACAGGGGTCTTGTGTCCAGTTATTCTATCTTATCAATATAAGGTGGCAAGATGGGTGGAGGGAGCCCCTATCACAATTTCTTTCTATTTGAAAACCAGGAAACCTAACATCAGCAGCAAAGAAAAAAAACACAGCCTATCTTTCCATTACGGTAGAAAACTACATGCAGTTATAGAAGACCTGACTTTCCAATATTTAGAAATGATGTATTATTAATATCATTATCCATTTCTATCTCATATTTTAAGCATATAATCTATGCATATAATCGCTTTAGCATCAGGAATAGTAAGAGGCAGTAATTTACTAATAGTTACCAGAGCCTACAATCTGAAGGCCTCTCCCCAGAGTAGAAAATGGAGACCTAGTAAGATCTGAAAGACAGCATTAACCATGTTATTTCATAAACCACCATTGTTTAATCCCATATCATAAGCAGTCATTCTGAAAGTTATTTTTCCACTTCAAGAGGGTGCTGATCCCGTGGCACAATAAACTGAAGCTGTTATAATTAGCTTCTACTTAAATATTTCAGTTGTTTTAATCCATCAAATACTTATTTTAGCAGTTAAGTGTTTGAAGAAGAGTAATCTTCACTCAATCTGAAACGTCTAGATGTAAGCATCAACCTGGATTCATCCAAAGCAAAATATTTTTATAGCTCAAGACCTTTATTCCTCTGACATGAGCTAAATTTAGAATGACATTTGGATCTATAGCTCCTAGAAAGGGCAATTATGCCAGCTGGTTAGAGTAACTAAAACAAACACTTGTGTGGTAAGGCATTCTGATGTCAAAGCCCCATCCTTGCTGCCACAAACTGTTGTTGTTTCATGCTTTCTAGTACTAAATGTAGAACACTAGCAATCCAGAGATAAACATTTGCTCACATTTAGCAAACCTTTTACAGATAGATAAAATGTGTCTCATCTGAACTAGCAGCTCATAACCATATATTAGGTTTTTTTTCTAATGAATGCCATTTTCCAGAACTGTAATTGGCACATGCTACAGCTGAAAGAAACTAAAATTAGTATACTTATTATTTTTTTTTTAGCCACACAAATATTTAATTTCCAATTAAAACATCTGGCCTACAGCAGCAATTTTTTAGTGGAAGGCAGGAAAGACAGGAAACAAATAAAAAAGGAAAAAATAGACGTGGATTGCGAGGAGCTTAGAGCGAGGTGAGTGGCATGAAAGTCTAATGATGAGGGAGGACTGGGGAAGAAAGGGGAGGAAGTGGTGAAATATCCCTCAAGTCCAACAGCAAAAAAAGAACAAGCCTATTAAGATCTCACCTAGCAATTCATAATCAGGATTCAAAGTGCCTGTCTTTACCTTGTGAGAGGTCACTAATAATTTCAATGCTGTTTATATTTTGGGGAGACAAGCATTCCTTCAAATGTTAGCAACATATCTGGTACACAGCAATAACTGCATAACAGTACGTATGTGACACTCTAATGAATCCTATATACTTTCAATATAAATCTTATGCTTCATTTTAAAATACAGCCTCACTTACCTATTACACATATAGGCACTTTTTAACATGTAATAATGATTTATATGTCCTTTCACCCGTGAAAGTCAGTCTCAATTGAACAGCAGTATTGGGCACTGCAACAAAGTATCAACTTACTTCATGGCTGCATAGTAAAAGGATCCAAACCATACAGTGGAAGTGAGAAGATGCACTGGAATCATGACTTTTCCATACTGTTTAAATGTTTTCTTGAATCTCTGAACGAGACTAATTGATTTGTCTTGTAATGGATCAGGATCTGAAGAATCTGACTCTACAGGGCTCTGCTTGGGTGTGTCAGTGGCCGAAGGCAAAGGACTTCTTTCTTCAGGTACTTTCTGGGGACTGTCTGCTGGCTGTGACGAAAAAGCACTTTTCTTTGAGGCAAGGCGTGCTGCACCTGCATGAAGACATCGTTTAGGAGGGTCCAGTGCCAAAATCACTTTGCATCCAACATTTGACAACACTGATGGTCCATTTAAGCACTGAAAGATACTAGTGCGAGGAAAAACCAAACACGTCCCCTGTGCCAGCTGAGATGCAGTATGTAATAGACTCCGTTGCATTTTGATGAAGTGTGGCTGAGGTTTCTACAGAGGGGAAACAAGAACAGAGCAAACAAATCACATTTCTATAATCTGATTTCTATTTGCTTCAATGCCACTTGAAATTTCAAATTTTAAATTGCCTTTCATTCTTCAACTTTAAAAGGTTTTCCTTATCTTGCATGGCAGAAATTGTTACCTCCTAGAATTAAGCACATAATTTTAGATCACACTTCTTCAGCATTCTGAACTAAAATGGCTCCTTCACTTAACAGACTCTGCTCCTCACAGCTAAAATGCTCATGCTACTCTTTAAAAACATTTTTAGATACTTAGTGCTATCTACTGCTATTATCTGCATGATCTGGCACACTTACTGAAAAGTTACCCTTGAAACTTCACTTCTAGTAGCAACTAATAGTTTGAGTGATACTTTGAGCTTGCATAAATGTAGTACGAACTTACTTAAGTGCAATTAAAATAAAATTTTGATGTCAATAAATTCTTAGTTCTGGTGTAATTTCTTATGTTCTATACTATTTTGAACTAAAAGTTCATACAGTAAAAAAAAATCACTAATAATTACTAATAATCAATAGCTTTAAAACCTGACCATAACAACTTGCCAGTATACATCTGTTAGTAAGGGGGGTGGTACTGTTGCATGTCATGTATTAACAGGAGCAAAACTGTACTGCGATTTCAGAAATACTACAATGCAAAAAATATTTTACAACTTTGGATAACCCAGTTAACTTTATGATTTTAAATACAGAGCAGTTACTCCTGAAAGTTCAAAAGAACCATTGAGACATTTCCCACAAAAGAGAGAAATTTTACGTGGCATGTACAGGTGTCAAGAAGTCATTCCCTCACCCCCCCAAATGCATACTTTGAACTACTGAATGAAATACTCTTTTCCTTTATACGACTGCAAGTTACAGAACTGATTTTCCTTCCCTCCAAGAAAAGTGCCACCAATTGATTTTATGTAACAAATGCCATTAAGTCAGTTATATTACAACTTTAAAGTCCTTCTGATGCTTTTATGTTTTCAGTATCATAACAATTCTTGATCCAAACTAGAAATCATTGAAGTTTAATTGAAACTCCACTGTAATCTTCATGTCTACTTCCCTTTCACCTATAGCTGTAGATGCATTTCAATCAGGGGTTTTGATCATGAGTTTGTCTAGGCCGCTGAAAAGTACCAATACTTCATTACATGGGAAGAAGTTTAAAAAAAAATGAAGCCATACATACCCTTTACTACTTTCCAGATATGTAACAAGAAAAGAATGATAAGGTTTGTATCTTCCACTAGTTCCCCACCTTTCAAATATATGTCTTGATCATATTGATGACACTGCTAAAGTAGAAAAAAGGCACAATTAGAGAAATATCAAGAACATAAAAAAAAATGAAGCCATACATACCCTTTACTACTTTCCAGATATGTAACAAGAAAAGAATGATAAGGTTTGTATCTTCCACTAGTTCCCCACCTTTCAAATATATGTCTTGATCATATTGATGACACTGCTAAAGTAGGTAGAAGGCACAATTAGAGAAATATCAAGAACAGCAAACCAACATTATTAGGATTTTTGGTCCGTCTGAAACCTTGCTTACTGGAAAAGTTATTGGTATAAATTCCCCTTTGGATACTGACACACTAATGGGAGAGTTTTTCTGAATAACTTAGAAGTTCTTCAACTCTGAATTAGTGTTCTCTTCCAAGAGAGAAAAGTTTCATAACCCAATGCATGAGTTGGAACATTCCTGCCTGTATGTATTCTAGCACTTTTATGTTATCATTGTGTCTGAATTAATTACAGTTACTAGAATTAAAGTTTGATGTGGGGAAAATATTGCAGAAATGCTTCCCCAGGTCCCTGGGAACCTCGATTTGCAGATTAAGCACAGACACACACTTTTGTTGGACTCATATAAACAGGGGTATTTCATCAACAGGGGAAAAGGGAACTTTAGTCTCTGTGTAAGCAAGCAATTACTCACTCCTGTTGAGTTATGAACACAGTGGGAGACAAGAAGTACTGCTGCTTATAGAGCAGTAAATCAGCTACAGGTACTGCCTCTCAATGAGTCCAGCTCCTGTAAGAACTCACTGGAAGTAGCAACTGCTTGTGATAGCTCTGATTTTACGAGAACCTGAGATTCTTGCTGATTTCTTAGATCCAAATGCAATTGCTTCTCAAAACAAAAAGTAGTGAAAACAGCACAACTCAAGTGGCAAATGACAGAGTGCCTTCTTAACAACTACCTTACTGATTTATAGAAATTGTAACAACAAATTGGAAGAAGACAACTACATTGCTTGCCTATTGCCACTTACACTCCTTTCCTGAGTGATAACACTCTCCACACAGGCCTGTTTTCCCCTCTCACTAATAGTATACAACACTGAGCATCTGCCTTAAGTAGATTTTCACAAGATCCAGCCAGCAGACTCAGCAAAGAATACCCATCCATCTATGGGAATTTGGGAGCTCTTGAACTTCCACTGTTCACTTGTTTTCAGTGGATGATATCCTATTGAGAAATACCTGTTCCAAACAACCTTTGAAAAATGCCACCGTACAGCATGGGGGAAACCATGCTCAGCACTCTGATTTTGGTTCATTAATGTTATTAGCAGGACTCTGCATTCCAACAGCCTTAAAAGGAGACACTTGTTCAGTTTCTTCTTGCTTCTCTACAGAAGAATTCTTTTCTGAATTTTCCCATTCTATATAATGTATTTATAGTAGCATGTCTAGGTTTTGCTGTCCAGCACCTACTGACAGCACAGAAGTAACACTGTACCACTCCTCTGATTCACTGCAATGGCTGCAGAACACTGGCATATGAAATGGCTTCCTAGGAGTGGGAATAATCCTTAATGTGAAGCAGCAATGGGGTCACTACTGCATGTTCAACACTCATCAGTCAATAGCTATCATAGTTGTGATTTTTAAGTGAGTTTCAAGGCCTCTGCTCACAGAGTTAGGTGCACCATATAAGACTTAAAAACAGAATGTCACCGATGGCTTTAAAGCAGGGGAACCACTGGGGCAACTGACAAGACCTGCCACACCACTTTTTTTGTTCCTATATCCTCAAATTAACTTGGAACTCTTTAACTAAAGGGTTTTTCTCCATGATGCAAAACACGGCTGGTCAAAGAGAAGGTTCCCTAACCCTCTACGGTAGATCCTGAAAAGGTCCTGAACCTTGTAAGCACAGATGATGGTATGGTTCTAGCTAATATTCTGTGAAACAGCTTACTTATTGCTTTTCCACTTTTAAAAAAACTTTTTGCTAGATGCTTGATATTAAGAAAAGGCTTATATTTGAGAGAATAAAAGAAAACAGGTTTTTCAAAATATGGTTGGAATCTTCCTAATGACCCTGTGTTTCATAGGTAGGTGCTTTATTTCACTTATCTAAATGAACAGAGGAGAGACTTTTAAAGTACCAGTAATTACTGGATTACACTACTATCCAGCAGCACTACAAGAATAAATGAGACAAGTATTATAATGGTAACAGCAGGATGTATAAAAGGCAATATAACAGATAATATAGCATACACTTTGTAAATTGATTTAAAATAAATTAATATTGTTAAAGGGGTAATGGGTGCAGCTGCTCAATTGTATTATTTTAATTACTTGGCTCAGCATTGCAAAGGACAGACAACTCAAAGTGCACAATAAATGTGGTTGGAGGTCCAAAGAAATATGAAACTGTAGTTGTTTCATCTCTCTAAAACAGAAGATAAATACAGATAAATCTGTCCTTTAAGACGTAATTAGTGAAAGAAAGTTCTGGTACCCTGTGCACTCAACAGGCAGCAGGAGAAAGTGTGTCAGCCTATGGATATGAGACACAATTTTATTATCCATTTATTATATACTTAAAGAAATTACTGGAGCTATATAACCACAATTGCCCCTGTAACCCTAGGTTGTTAAAACCATGCAGATCATAAGGAAGTCTAGACAGAAACCTAAATGTTACCCACAATTGCACCTAGTGACTTTTGAAAAGTTGTTTCTTCATTTTAGTGCATTTTGTATTTTTCATGCTGTTGCACGATGCTGTAAAAGCACATAAAGGACAGAAGCTAGAACCTTCAGATATCAATGTAGAAAAGCAGCTGGTCTGCAGCACAAGAATTTTGTGGCGGCCGGGGGCAGAAGATGTTTTAAAGCATCTTCAATTTCTACATTAGCTTTCTCTTAAAAGTGCCATGAGAAAAAAAATAAATATGGCGATGTCTAAGGACAAATATAGCTGTTCTCTGCTGTAAGAATCTCATGTGGTCAGTGACTGAATAGAAGCTATACTATGAAATGACACACAAACACTTCTGGGATAAGGTCTCCTCTTCAGCGCTGTCATGTTCTGGCTAACTATTTAGTAGTATCTCCAGCTGGCTGTAAACTGAGCTGAAGAGATCTTGGCTGTTCAGGACATACTCCTGGTTGGGATTCTTGGACGTCCATTTAGTTCCTGAAGGCACGTCTGTCTCATGGCAAGCAATTAACAAGCCCTCAGATATAAAGAGAGTGCTCTAGTGGCCTCTTGAGGAAAAACATATATTAGCTTCTCATTACAATGTTAGAAGTTTTGTTTAGCAAGCTTTTGTACTTCTGTTATAATTAAGATCAGCTTTGGCGTACACCTGATGCGCTGCAGGAGCACCCTCTCTCTTGCATCTGTTCTGCTAAACTTTTGCATTGCAGTGATTACTAGGAAGTAGAGATTGGTTAGACTTGCTTTTGTTACTAAGGACAATGAAAGTTCAGGATCTTCTAATATCACAGAGTTGGTCTGTGTGACTACCTCAAATTCATGGGTTTGGATATGTGCTAACGTGCAAAAAAGAAATGGGAGATCACTGGAAAACACAGAAGTAGCAAGCGAGGCCAATATAGGTACAGCAAAGGCTGCTGTGGATATCTGCCGTAGGAAAGCCAGAGATGCCGTTAGATGAAACTTTCATCTGGATAATTTATATAAAAAGAGTTATCCTGTTACAAGTAACTTTTTCTGAGCTACCAGAGAAATTAAAATACAAGAACGGGGGTGGATATAAGATAGCAAAATCTTTAGTGTAAGTTTTTTTGTAAAAGAGGTCAGAAAGCACTTGAGGGAATTGCAGGTATACTATACGTAGACTACACTATTTTCTCAGTTCTACCAGAAACGCTCCAGACACAATATGAAAATACGGATGAATTTAAAGCATTTTTACTTGGTTTTTTATTGTTTAAAAAAACCACATTAATTATACCACAAGAGAGTTTCCAATGAAAATCCATGGGCATGTTTTTTTTCCACTCCCAAGACACATTTCTATGCAATCAGAGAATTAATTTACATTTTTGTCACTTTCGTTGTCAAATCAAGCAAACTTTGAGGGTTGTACTGTATATACAGAAGAATTTTACAAGGACACAAACCAAACTTTCAGCAATCCTTTCCAGCTCACCTTTCAGATTGTTTAAAAAGCAAACGTACAGAGATGTCATCCAAACAGCTTAGTTTAATATACTGCTTACATTTTTGCTAATTATCATTTTAACAAAAATCAAAACTTTTTTTCAGATTTAAATTGTTCTTTTAAAGAACATATTGATGGTATTTTTATTTAAAAAAAAACAACAAACATCTAGCCAAGCTAATAAACCAAAATAAGAAAAACACAATGGAAGAGATAACATATATAGGTTGCCTTGACAAGCGAAGACTGAGGGGAGACCTTATTTATGTTTATAAGTATCTAAAGGGTGAGTTGAAGGATGTTGGAGCCGGACTCTTTTCAGTGGTTTCCAGCAATAGGACAAGGGGCAATGGGCTCAAGCTGGAACATAGGAAGTTCCATTCAAATACGAGAAAAAACTTTTTTATGGTGACCGTGACAGAGCACTGGGACAGGCTGCCCAGGGGGGTCATGGAGTCCCCTTCTCTGGAGATCTTCAAGACCCGCCTGGATGCAGTCCTGAGTAACGTGCTCTAGGTGTTCCTGCTTTAGCAGGAGAGTTGGACCAGATGATCTCTAGAGGTCCCTTCCAACTCTGACAATTCCGTGATTCCGTAATAAGCTGGGAACACATTTAAAATCATTGTAATAAGAGTGCAATACATGTTTTTCCTAAACTCAACGTAAAATATAACTATAGACCTTTTGGCAACTGCAGTGGCTCAGCACAGCATACAGTCACTATTCATGGACAGCAAAATGACTGTGTATAGGGACCTTTTAGTCTTTGTATTAGTACTTTTAGAGTGTACGAATGAGCACTTAGAATTTGTATTTTGACCTTTACTGCTTTTGCAGTGTCCGCAATACAATCTGTTAT